TGATTAATTGTACCTTCACTTCTTCTGCTTTTTCGTTTGCTGTCTGTGCTGAAACTGTGGGAAACTGAAACTACATACTTGAAAATGTTAGCTTTACTGTTCAAGGATATCAAAAAGTCTGATTCAGCATAGAAGGTAACGAGTTCCTCAGCTACTAAAGTATCCTGTTAATCTGCACCCTTGGGTGTTGGTCACGTGTAAGCAGTAGCAACTGCAACACTCTCCTAGTAGAAGGACTGGTCTGAGCTAACTCTAGTGGCTCTCCAACTAAGGACGAAAACTTCATTTTTTATTGAAATGTGACCAGCTAACTTATAATGACCGCGTGTAGACCGCTCCTCTATCGTTGTTTTGAGTGTCCGATCCAAAACCAAATCCTGGGGTTACACGAGATGTGGGAGCCTGTGAACGTGTCAAATCCTGGGGTTACAGGAGACATGGTAGCCTGTGAGCGTGTAGACCGCTCCTCTATCGTTGTTTTGAGTGTCCGATCCAAAACCAAATCCTAGGGTACACGAGACGTGGAAGCCTGTGAGCGTGTTAGAGTCTGTTAAGTGTTAGAGTCATAGGGTTACACGAGACGTGGTAGCCTCTGAGCATGTTAAATCCTGGGGTTACACGAGACGTGGTAGCCTGTGAACGTATTAATTGTAAAGCTATCCTCAATACATATGCAGTTACAAAGTTTGATAACTGTTTCAACAGGGGTCGAATTCACAAAAATAACGTAAACCATTGATTTAAAGCAACTGCCGCTCCTGTCTCTTGATTGCTTATGATGATCAGGATCACATGACGTATCATCACGACGATTATTGGTCACTCAAAATCGATCCGTTAAGAATGCAATGTAGGTGTGATGGTTGTTTCTGCGTATTTGTTACCTGTTACTAATTAATCAACAGGATCATAATGTTGATTGTATCGATAAAACATGGATTTTAAGGCATAAGGAAGCATTGTTGAGCTCTGAAACCAAGTTTAATCGATTTCTCGTGCAATGTTAGGTTAGGAATGGTCATCAAAATAAGTTTATAACAATGTCGATATTTTGGTAAATTTCTAGCTTTCTGTCAGAAAATAAATTTACGGTTTCTATAATAAGGGTAATTAGATATTAACTACAGTACAGCTGTACTTACACCCACATTCACAAGCATGCAAGCTCACCTGGTCCAATGAGCGGGAAACGGAGAACAAGCTCTGGTGACGTCACAGTCACTTAACCTCAGGTACCTAATAACGTTACCTCAGACCCAATCAATTGGGTTCTGGCCTAGTCAGCCCACTGTCACCCGATATTGAGGTGACGTACGACAACTCGTTAACCCAATCAATGTCTGGAAGGCTGCAAATTTTCACATGCCAAACTCACAAGGGTCTTACGGAGTTGTGCGAGATGACGATACATAGAGGCCGCCGAATTATAAGGACTACCAGATCCTGGTGGAACCTAAACGATCCATGATATCATGACAGGCCCTAAAATTATATTGTGTATTATATTATGTTATATTATCGTTATTTTCATCCTATTAAACTAACTGATGTCTTATGATTTTTTAGACAAAACAGGTGCCAACATGAAAGTTGAAATGAATAGTCCACGAGTAACAAATTGCGGGCTATGGGGTTGGAGACCATCTTTTTTAAAGGTTTGGACAACATTCCAACTGGGTTCATTTGGCATTGATGACCTGTTGTTAATATTTACTTCTCCAGAAAATGACAGAGATAACACTGATCAATTATTTTGCGACTATAAACTAGGAGGGTGTGCAAAAGTTGTAAAATCTTTTTGTTTCAGATATACAACACTCCTAATATGTACCTGGTCCTCTTCTCCATATCCACTTTCGCTATAGCCACATCTCTGGGCATGAACCAAGTGCTGATACCAACCCTTCAGGAACTGTTCAATTTGAATTCAAAGCAAATTGGTAAGCAATTGATAATTCAGGATATTGAGAAAGACGATTTTAATATTTTACATTTACAATAGATTATAGATGGTTACAATACCAAGTGGGTACTTTATAAGTCGAACAGGATTTAAAATTCAAGCAAGTTTGAACACGCTCTTAAAATTGAATAAAATTAGCAACTTTATTTGAATTCCACATAGGTTTGATACTAATCGCAAATGACTTGTCTGGTCTTGTTGTGGCGTTCATATTCGGGCATTTTGCCAGCAAAGGAAAGATGAGGTGGCTACTTTTCGGGGTGATAGTCAGCTTTATAGCAAATCTGTTGCAAAGTGGAACACAGCTCTTTGTCAAGGTATGATAAAATCATGTGGAACTAGATAGTTAAATGTATGGTCGGTATAGTGAGTTGGATCTTAAGTCAATCTAATGGTCGTAACAAGTCGCTCGATCGATGCCAACTGCTGATATTTGATAAAATTGAAAATAGTATCATAATCTGAACAGGAATCTCATATGAGCATCTAATGTGTGGTAAAGCATCTAATGTGTGGTAAAACCCATTTTAACAGCGTGGATATTTATCAAATACAAGCGCGCTAGCTGCTAGCATGTACTTGTATCATTTAATTTTAAATCAAATTTATTCGGATATATATTTATTGATTATGTATTGAATTGGTGATAAATAATAAAATTGTCTTTTCTCAAAAAAATTGTCTTTTCTCAATCATCTTAGCTTCCTGAACTGACAAGCGACGTGACGGGATCTAACGTAAGAAAAGAAGATAAGATGTGTACACTTGATGATGAAGATAATACAAACTCAGTGATAGAGTCCATGTTTTATGCTGTCCAGAATAACAAATTGTTCTGGATCCTTTTCTTGGCCGGAATATTGCAGGTAAGAATACTGAAAGATATTAAAGAAAATGGTCTTAAGAATCTGAATACAATAAGAAGCAAAGTATGGTAGGTGCATGACAGAGTTTTCCTTCCAACTTATCAAAAAACACAAGTACGCGAAACCTATAATATGCATTTTCTATATATAGAAAATTAAATATATATACAGGGTGGGCCAAAAGTCAGTACCCATACACTGGCTTCACAAATCCAATAAGTCTTCACAATATCGAGTTTTGTTTCTTTTGCGAACCCCATTTTTCTTAAAATTCGACTTTTTGGAACAGAGCGCAAAAAAATTAACAAAGTTGAATCGCTGGAACAAATGAGCTTAACAAATTAAATTTGTAAGCTTTATGAACTAATCGCAACCAATAATGGGCATTTTGATCCTCTTATAAAAAAATGTATTGTTTTTTTAAATCAGGATATTTTGCTCCTTTATAAAAAAATTATTGTTTTTTTAAATCAGGACATTATTTTTGAAACACCCTGTATATATATATATATTTTGTTGCTGTACTCCTACACATTAAAAGTCGGTGTTGATTAGATCTTCGAAATTCTTTGCATCATTTATTAAACATCGTTATCTGAGATAAAATTGTTCTAAAAGCAACTGGAATTTACACAAATCTTTAAAATAACTTACAAACTAGGAAAGGAAAACAAATCTTAGGAAGACGTACAAAATTATGTGACTTAAAACGATACAAAACTAAAACATACTGAGTAATTATCAAACGAAAAGAATGGCTGAGTACATCTTATCTAATCTATTAAAAATTAGTTTCCCGGAAAAAGCTAGATTTCTCTGAATCAAGCAGTAAAAATACTAAAATAGTAATGAATATAACACGTCTCTGATAGCAATATTGTAAACTAAACACGGGTTTATAGGCTAAGATCATGTTACATAAAATAAATAAACTAAACACTAAGCTCCAGCGAATTTAAAAAGGATGTGGTTACTATCGAGGGTGTTCATCCCCCCATAACGCTCAAGGGTTTTCAATTGGGTCTGGTAGAACCCCTCTCTAGCTTCCATGGCCTTTTCCCTATCTGCTTTACTGATTTCAGGTTTAAATTCTAGAGCGTCCACTATAATAACAGAAAGGTGGGTACTAAGTGAAGAGTTATAGAAGGCTACTGAACTAAAATCTAAATCATGATCAATATCTAAAAAATGGTTAACTAACTTACAACTCCTGATACCTTTCTTAATGTGGCTCTTATGATTAGAAAATCTCTTAGGGAGATTGGAAGTAGTATATCCTACATACGACTGTTTACAAGTTCTACACTCCATTAAATAAATAAGGTTATTACTCTGACAAGTTATATATTTAGTAATAGGGAAAACTTGTTTGGAATGGTGACTACTAAATTTGGAACAAGGGGACATGAAACTTTGCTTACAAACATAGCATTTTCCACAGGCATGGCACCCTGCGTTGTCAGCCTCCCGAACAGCCGGCAATATTGCAGCGTCTGGTTCAAGAAATTGACTAGCAGTGGCTTCTCCCTCTCTATCACTGCTTACAGTTCCATTAGCACGATACTTATTGTGTACAAGCATGCCACCGATAGTATGATTCTTTCGGTGACTATAAATATATATATATTTATAAAATATATGTGAAAAGTATTAATTCCAAATTAGGGTATAGGAACATCTCAAGCAATTAGTGGCATAACGTATCTAGACGAAGTGATGACGAAGAAGAAGCTTGGTCCGTCTATTGCTGTTTGTAGCATTATAGGTCTGCTGGGGTATACAGCCTCCTATCTGTTTGGAGCATATCTCCTGACACAGTATGTCACCTTGGGTACACCCCCAGATGGAGTGACACTAGGGAGCAGTCATTGGGTGGGGGCATGGTGGATGGGGTACCTAGCACCTGGACTCTTGCTTGCTCTTTCTGGGATACCCATGATACTGTTCCCTACACAGATGCCAGCAGCTAAGGTTTGATTAATCAACATAGTCTAATTTCTAGGGATGGCATAAATGATATATGATTTAAGAGCAGATAGGTTCTAAGAGCAAACGGAAACACTAAAGAAAACTTAGTTACATTGAAGGTAGTTCTACGAAAGAAGATAGATATCGGGAAGGCAAGTCAGCAAGAAAAGGACTCTGAACTGAACCGGTCACTCAAGGACCTTATGAATGACTTGTTACCTACTCTGAAACGTCTCATGAAAAACAAGGCTCTGTTATTCATTCTTGCAGGACAAGCTCTTAACAACATATACGTCTCTTCCATGGCATATGATACCAAATTATTGTCGCAACTGTTCAAGTAAGTCGGGGGAAAAGTATCGATAAGTGAAACTTATTGGTGTAATGAAATTGTATATTATTATCATTATATTTTGATATCTCCCACTAACCAGTACATTTAAATGTGATTTAAATGTGAACTCACCTTCTACCTTCTGATAGTTATAACCTCTAGCATGTATCAGATGTATAAGATAAGTTTTTAGATTAATATACATACAGTTATATCCAAAGGTAGGTGCGGTGATACTTTGTAAATAGTGCGATGTTCAGCTTATTTGTTACCTCGGGTGATATATAGAAAAATAAGAGATCTAGAACTATGTCTTTACAGGATATCAGTTACAGAGACAGGATCGCTTATCGGGATTATGAAGATAGTTGGAAGTCTTCTAGGACTAGCCCTAGGTGGGGCTTTCATGGGAAAATTCTCTCCATCGGGTAACTACTAACTGATAGTTATTGAGTCGTCTTGGATGCATCATGCAAGTAGATACTTGCACCAAAAAAGTTGGTATATCGGCCTCTCTTGTATCTCTCTTGTATCGATTACAGTTTTACACGATTTACACGATTAGAAAATGTATTTGTTATACTGGAATAATAACAATTTTAAAATATAAAATAAATCACTTCCCTCTGAAGTAGAACAGATGATGGGAGAGCTTCAAACATGGCGATGGAGGGAAGCGGTGTCTCACCGCTGGGAGGTAAATTAATACCCGTATCGCGATGGTAAAATTTTATGATATGAGATCTCAAGTAAAAAATAACACAAAAAATAAAAAGTGAATGTTGTCAGTGTAGTGAAATCGGAGGCAACATTAATAAAGACGTATACACTTAAACCGTTACAATTATAGCCCCCATCTTGTTTTAAATACTCACAATAAAATACACACAAAAAACACACAAACGTCCCCAAAACATTAACTTCAATTTATATTTCCCTAGTTGAAATTAACTTATTTTATGAAATTGATACATTCGAGAAGATATCGTGATTACATGGTAGCCATCCATGATCCCCAATTAGCCCTAGGTTTTGTATATGAAGCAAATGGTTCTTAAATCTCTTTTTAAATAGTGAAATTGACAAAATATGATACGGTACATCATGATCAAGGAGATAATTTAAAATTTTGGATGCATTAAAAACAAAATTACTATTCTTGGTCTTAGACATTGAGAATTTAGGATATAGCAGTCTGCATGATCTACTTGACTTGCTAAACCGGCGATAAACATCAACAGGAATTTGTTCTTTAAGTAGCCTCATTGCAATACATCCAGTAAAGTATGTAAATAAGTTAAACAAGGTTAATAATTTCAAACGAAAGAACATTGGTTTCGTATGTTGAAACTTGTGATCAATCTTTATTGTTTTTCTACTCACAATACGAATACATTTTTTCTGCAACACAAACAGTTTTTGCAGCAAAGGATGGTGAAAAACAGCACCCCACAGTGGTATACAATACATTAAATATGGTTGAACAAGTGAAATATATACTTGTCTTAACACTTTGGCTGGTACTATAGAACTTATGGAGTAGAGTGATCCGCAAGATTTTGAAACTTGCGTTATTACATTGGTAATATGATCATTCCACGTTAAATTAGAATTAATAATGACTCCCAAAAATTTACACTTATTCACTTGATTAAACTGGTTGTTAAGTATTCCAACAAACTTTTGATTCTTAGGAACTTTACTACTTCCGAATTCCATAAAACAGCATTTTTCAAAATTAATGATTAACCTATTTAAGCAGCAATAGTCGTGAATCTTTGATAATACCTCATTAGCATTTTTGTAGAGTAAATTTCGGTCTTTATTTTGAAGAAAAAGGTTTAAATCATCTGCAAAGAGGATAAATTTAGCTAACTCACAAATATTTGCCAAATCATTGATAAAAATAATGAAGAGCAGGGGGCCTAACACTGACCCCTGTGGAATACCACAGGTTATTTTCAAGAGACAACTTTCGAATCCCCCATAGCTAACATACTGAAACCGATCTGATAAATAACTGTTTAATAATTTAATGACATTTCCTCGAATACCATAGTTCTCCAGCTTTTCTAACAAGATATTATGCCGCACTGTATCGAAAGCTTTGGAAAAATCTATAAATATACCTAATGTAAAATTCTTATTATCGATAGCATCATGAAGATTTTCTACTGCTGAAACAAGTGCATGAAAGGTTGAGTGCTTACTGCGGAAACCAAACTGATTATCACAGAAAAGATTGTGCTTATTAAAGAAATCAGATACGTTTTTATGTATTAACTTCTCGAAAATCTTAGCAAAAACAGGTAACATTGAAATAGGACGATAATTGCTTATATCAGAAATAGATCCTTTATTCTTATACAAAGGAATTATTTTTGCTGCTTTTAATTCTTTCGGAAAATAACCTTCATTTGCACATTTATTAAAAATATCAGCCAGTAAAGGACTTAAAGTGGTAGCTAAAAGTTTGAGGACCCTAGGAGAATAATACGTACCCTTGCTATTATTAAGCTTACTTATAATATTATTTATTTCTTCACTTGAAAAATTAATATCCGATAGCTCGCTTATGTTCCTCTCAGGCATATATTTATTAAAATCTGTTAAATCCGCGTTAGCATTTTCACCATACGTTTTTAGTAAAAGATCATTAGCAATATTAACAAAATAATAATTAAAATTATGCGCTGCATCTTGATTAGGAAAAACTAGTAATCTGTTTGATCTCTTCCTACCTAGTAAACCGTTTATCAGTTTCCAAGTCTTTTTCAAATCATGTTGATTTGCTTTAAAACATTTATCAAAATACTCAAATTTTTCTTTACTTCTAATAGCATCAAACACTCGTTTGTAATCAACATATTTGTTCCAATTAACTCTAGTTTTATTCATAACCCAAATATCATAGAGTTTGTTTTTAGTGTCACTACTCTTGGCCACTCCTATTGAAATCCAATCAGAGCGAAGAAGAGAATTATTACCACTAGACTTCTGACTTTTAATAAACCACTTATCATACAGTGTTCTAAAATTTCTGTCAAAAAAGGAATACATATTTTCGGCAGAATCACTTTCAAGATCAAATTTTAATAATTTAAAATCATTCAAAAACCCTTGTAATAAAAAGTCATTAATATTTACTTTATTTCTATTTCTACACTTTTCGTTAGGATCAAAATTATAGTCCAAAACTACGAATGTAGGAAGGTGACGACTTATATTACATCGTATAAGGCCGTTACAAATTATGTTAGATATATTGTTAGTAAGTATATGATCAATACATGTGCCATTTAAGCCTCCAAAATGAGTAGCACGTGAGATAATTGGTAAAAAGTTATTACTAAACATGCAGTCTAAATATCTCCTAACAACACTAGAATTGGAGTTATATAGATTTACATTAAAGTCACCAAGAATATAGCTTTTGTGTCCCTTAAATGTGTTCAATTTACTTAAGATACTGCCAAACATATCGATAAATGAATCAAAGTTTCCACTTGGTGATCTATAACAATTAACAACTAGTAACTTTTCAGATTTAACTGTTATTTCAACACAAAGTGATTCAAAATCAACGGTAGAATAACAAAGCTCAAATTTTTGATTAATATTATTAAATTTGTCACGCAAAAACGTTACCAAACCAGAACCTTTGTGTTTAAGCTTTCCATCCTCCTTCAATAATCGATTAAGTACAAATTTATTATAACCCGGTATGTAAAATGGTTGTGACTCATGTTCTGTTACATTAGTTTCACAAAGGAAATATCCATCAGCTTTGAAACGTCCATGGTGCACTAAAAAGCAGTCAAAATTTGATCTGAATCCATCAATATTCAAACTTAATAACGATAATCCATTGTCGTTCATTTTTTCTTCAAAATCATCTAACTTATAATAGACGCACTGACGCAGTATCTGGCTGCAATCTTGTAAATTCTCGCTAAGAGTTTCAACATCCGGGATAAAATCTATCATTTCATTGTAATAATATTCAAAAGGAGCAAAGAACGGTTGTTCGGAATAAAAATCAGTTTCAATATATTCAACAGTACTGGTAGTAGCAGTGTTTAAGTCGAGTAAGGGTAAGGGCATACATGACGAACAAATATTAGACTTAACACAGTTCTTGTGCAACATTTTGAAACATTGTTTACACTGTGCAATCTTTTCATTAAATATATCAATATTTGTTAAACATGTCACACACTTATAATACTCAATATAATCGTCATAGCATATTTTACAATACCATACAAATTGCTGAAGTATAAATATGGTACTATTGTCTAGCTTTAAACAAGATCCATGATATATGTCCTTACAGTTGTTGCAACGTAGAATGAATTGGTGAAAGTACAAAATTTTATGACAGAAGACGCATTGCTTACGGTCAGAGGGAATGAGGATGTTGGGAAGGGTCATGTTTGAAACTCCGTCATCCATAACTCTCTGTTAGAAATATTAAAATCTGAAAAATAGTTGTATTAGAAATATTCATCTCACGGTGTGAATTCAGTATTGTTCAAAAAGGGGCTCTCACAAAACAAAAACTCTTTAGGTTCAAAAGTAGGCACACAAATCAACAAATCAGCAGTATTCCTAATCAGCTTAGGATTACCGTTAGCATTCATTCTCAATAAAACATTCCCATTCTTGTAGTCAACCCAACAAGAGTTTAGTCCACCAAATCTGACAGCATCGTTGACCTGCCCTAATAATGCCGCTCGTTTATATGTTATATTGGGCTGTACCCCGACACCCTTTTCGGGGTTCTCAAACAGCAATTTCTTTTTATCTGGGGAAATGTTTTTAGTGCTTTTCCTATTTCTAAACACTTTCTGTGCTGTTGATCTATCTTTGAAGCGAGCAATAAACCTAGGGGCTTTACCCTTCTTGCCCTTCAAGGGATGAGCGGCTACAAGGTCATCCTTAACAATGTCCACACCTAACTGTTCACACAACAAGACCACTTGGTCCTCACAACTATTGCTCTCATTAACTAGCAAATTGGTAAAACAAACGTTTTCCCTACGTGAGTATTGATCTAAATTATCTAGTTCCACTTCTAGTTTGCAGATCGCATCCGCTTGACGATCGACAACTTTGCTGAGCTTTGAGTTAACGTGTCGAAGTTCCACGAAGTCGTCCAACAATTTAGCATGATCACTACGAGCTATACTAAGTTCGGTTTCTAGATGTTGCATAAATTTCCATAACTCTTGAACTGATCTTAGTTCTGACTCACCGTTGGAAAAGTGAGGTAGCTGTGGCTGTTGTAGTTGTTGACGTGGCATCTGATCGTGCTGATAACCGTTGCCAAACTGAGAAGTCACGGGACAGTAGGAATTACGGGAAGCCTTGCTCTGTCGGCGATCCGAGTTTTGTTGAGAATTGCCATGATGAGACATGTCTTCAAATTTCAATAAACAGGCAGAGCAAGATTTTTAAAACGAATTGAAAGTAGTGATAAGAGATCTGAAAGAGTTGTCGAGATCAGTTATGACCACATCACTCAGGAAAAACGTGTTTGCTGTTCGTAGTAGTGACACAGTTTCTGGCACTGCCTGCACCACCGATGTCACTTCATCACTGTGAAACTGACAATGTTGCTGGTATATCAGTTTCCTACCCGACCGACCTTTCCCTGGATTGGAAGTAAAAGCAAAATCAATTCTCAATTTTAATGTGTTAAGACACGGCTTTTGAGCTTTTTAGTTCCTCTTGTTAATTCTTATACTCATATTCGCTATATCGTTGAGAATCTTAAGCAGCAGTAGAGGTCGACTAAATGTAAAACTATAATCTCAGCAAGGGAAGCAGGAACTTGACAGACAAGTGTAACGGTGAATGTAGTTGCTCAACAGATTTCTACGAGCCCGTTTGTGATCTGGAGAGTAAGATAACCTACTTCTCCCCCTGCCATGCTGGCTGTTCTTCATATAACGTAAGTTTTAGCTCTTTATTGGCGGTTACATCAAATGTTCTTGGTCATAATGTTTAAGAAGTTTAATTTTAGCCTACTCATATAAGCGATTGTTTGATGATACAGAGGATTGTTTCTGATAATTCCTATTTTATTGCAGGAAGAAAAGAAGGTCTATGAGAATTGTGAGTGCAGTAAGGCAGATTTAGTCCCGGGAGCATGTCCAGCAGAAGATTCCTGTTCGACGAGGAAGTGGATAGTTTTTGTAATTCAGCAATTCTTCGGAGCCCTCTTTTTCTTCAGTCACTACCCTGCCATAAGTGTGGCTTACCTCAGGTGAGCAGAATTTTGTTCAACAAAACTAAAATATTTATGAAAATCAAAGCTTGGAAGCTCGGTGGTTGAAATCTTGTTCTAGGTTACTCACATGGTTTTTCCTAATCACAAATTGCAAATCACATTTATACAACTATTGAGTATTGATATAATGTGTTCGCAAGAAGCAGTGTTTACCTCCACTTCCAAGAGGCTTTAAATTCCTCAAAATCACAGCCAAGTTTGATATGGCAAAACTAATCTTACATTATAGTCAAAATTCTGGCGGCTAATCTTTGAAAATTCTCAGAGTGGTTCCCGAAATCGACAGGTCCGCAGCACAGGGATTGAAAGAGTTCTTTACACGAGCGTTTGGATTCGTGTTAGGACCCATTTTGTTTGGAGCTATCATTGACAACTACTGCGTAGTGTGGAGAGGTGGAGGAAGCTGCTGGCTCTACGATCTGCATGAGTATGTGTTCTGAATTTCTCAAAAAGCACACCATTATTGACTGTTTGTAGTACCACTTCGTTGCAACACACTCACTGACATGGTTGAATTATCACATTATATCCAACCCCTAATAAGGATCGATAATTCAGCGCATCTCGATCTGAGTCTGTATACTGACCTGTAGAAACAGATCTGAACTGGTTCCTTTATCATTTTGCCACTGATATTCATCCAATTTCAGTATGATAGTGACGTTTACGATGAGTCAGCTAGGATTCCGAGTAGCAGGAACTATCTGCATCTTTATTGCATGGAGACTATATCCAGAATAGCAGGAACTATCTGCATCTTTATTGCATGGAGACTATATCCAGAGTAGCAGGAACTATCTGCATCTTTATTGCATGGAGACTATATCCAGAGTAGCAGGAACTATCTGCATCTTTATTGCATGGAGACTATATCCAGAGTAGCAGGAACTATCTGCATCTTTATTGCATGGAGACTGTATCCAGAATAGCAGGAACTATCTGCATCTTTATTGCATGGAGACTATATCCAGAGTAGCAGGAACTATCTGCATCTTTATTGCATGGAGACTATATCCAGAGTAGCAGGAACTATCTGCATCTTTATTGCATGGAGACTGTATCCAGAGTAGCAGGAACTATCTGCATCTTTATTGCATGGAGACTATATCCAGAGTAGCAGGAACTATCTGCATCTTTATTGCATGGAGACTATATCCAGAGTAGCAGGAACTATCTGCATCTTTATTGCATGGAGACTATATCCAGAGTAGCAGGAACTATCTGCATCTTTATTGCATGGAGACTGTATCCAGAATAGCAGGAACTATCTGCATCTTTATTGCATGGAGACTATATCCAGAGTAGCAGGAACTATCTGCATCTTTATTGCATGGAGACTATATCCAGAGTAGCAGGAACTATCTGCATCTTTATTGCATGGAGACTATATCCAGAATAGCAGGAACTATCTGCATCTTTATTGCATGGAGACTATATCCAGAATAGCAGGAACTATCTGCATCTTTATTGCATGGAGACTATATCCAGAGTAGCAGGAACTATCTGCATCTTTATTGCATGGAGACTGTATCCAGAATAGCAGGAACTATCTGCATCTTTATTGCATGGAGACTATATCCAGAGTAGCAGGAACTATCTGCATCTTTATTGCATGGAGACTATATCCAGAGTAGCAGGAACTATCTGCATCTTTATTGCATGGAGACTATATCCAGAGTAGCAGGAACTATCTGCATCTTTATTGCATGGAGACTGTATCCAGAATAGCAGGAACTATCTGCATCTTTATTGCATGGAGACTGTATCCAGAATAGCAGGAACTATCTGCATCTTTATTGCATGGAGACTATATCCAGAGTAGCAGGAACTATCTGCATCTTTATTGCATGGAGACTGTATCCAGAATAGCAGGAACTATCTGCATCTTTATTGCATGGAGACTATATCCAGAGTAGCAGGAACTATCTGCATCTTTATTGCATGGAGACTATATCCAGAGTAGCAGGAACTATCTGCATCTTTATTGCATGGAGACTATATCCAGAGTAGCAGGAACTATCTGCATCTTTATTGCATGGAGACTATATCCAGAGTAGCAGGAACTATCTGCATCTTTATTGCATGGAGACTGTATCCAGAGTAGCAGGAACTATCTGCATCTTTATTGCATGGAGACTATATCCAGAGTAGCAGGAACTATCTGCATCTTTATTGCATGGAGACTATATCCAGAGTAGCAGGAACTATCTGCATCTTTATTGCATGGAGACTATATCCAGAGTAGCAGGAACTATCTGCATCTTTATTGCATGGAGACTATATCCAGAGTAGCAGGAACTATCTGCATCTTTATTGCATGGAGACTATATCCAGAGTAGCAGGAACTATCTGCATCTTTATTGCATGGAGACTATATCCAGAATAGCAGGAACTATCTGCATCTTTATTGCATGGAGACTATATCCAGAATAGCAGGAACTATCTGCATCTTTATTGCATGGAGACTATATCCAGAGTAGCAGGAACTATCTGCATCTTTATTGCGTGGAGACTATATCCAGAATAGCAGGAACTATCTGCATCTTTATTGCATGGAGACTATATCCAGAGTAGCAGGAACTATCTGCATCTTTATTGCGTGGAGACTATATCCAGAGTAGCAGGAACTATCTGCATCTTTATTGCGTGGAGACTATATCCAGAGTAGCAGGAACTATCTGCATCTTTATTGCATGGAGACTATATCCAGAGTAGCAGGAACTATCTGCATCTTTATTGCATGGAGACTATATCCAGAGTAGCAGGAACTATCTGCATCTTTATTGCATGGAGACTATATCCAGAGTAGCAGGAACTATCTGCATCTTTATTGCATGGAGACTATATCCAGAGTAGCAGGAACTATCTGCATCTTTATTGCGTGGAGACTATATCCAGAGTAGCAGGAACTATCTGCATCTTTATTGCATGGAGACTATATCCAGAGTAGCAGGAACTATCTGCATCTTTATTGCATGGAGACTATATCCAGAGTAGCAGGAACTATCTGCATCTTTATTGCATGGAGACTATATCCAGAGTAGCAGGAACTATCTGCATCTTTATTGCATGGAGACTATATCCAGAATAGCAGGAACTATCTGCATCTTTATTGCATGGAGACTATATCCAGAGTAGCAGGAACTATCTGCATCTTTATTGCATGGAGACTATATCCAGAGTAGCAGGAACTATCTGCATCTTTATTGCATGGAGACTATATCCAGAATAGCAGGAACTATCTGCATCTTTATTGCATGGAGACTATATCCAGAGTAGCAGGAACTATCTGCATCTTTATTGCATGGAGACTATATCCAGAGTAGCAGGAACTATCTGCATCTTTATTGCATGGAGACTATATCCAGAGTAGCAGGAACTATCTGCATCTTTATTGCATGGAGACTATATCCAGAATAGCAGGAACTATCTGCATCTTTATTGCATGGAGACTATATCCAGAGTAGCAGGAACTATCTGCATCTTTATTGCATGGAGACTATATCCAGAATAGCAGGAACTATCTGCATCTTTATTGCATGGAGACTATATCCAGAGTAGCAGGAACTATCTGCATCTTTATTGCATGGAGACTATATCCAGAGTAGCAGGAACTATCTGCATCTTTATTGCATGGAGACTATATCCAGAGTAGCAGGAACTATCTGCATCTTTATTGCATGGAGACTGTATCCAGAGTAGCAGGAACTATCTGCATCTTTATTGCATGGAGACTGTATCCAGAATAGCAGGAACTATCTGCATCTTTATTGCATGGAGACTATATCCAGAGTAGCAGGAACTATTTGCATCTTTATTGCATGGAGACTATATCCAGAATAGCAGGAACTATCTGCATCTTTATTGCATGGAGACTATATCCAGAATAGCAGGAACTATCTGCATCTTTATTGCATTGGACTATATCCAGAATAGCAGGAACTATCTGCATCTTTATTGCATTGGACTATATCCAGAGTAGCAGGAACTATTTGCATCTTTATTGCATGGAGACTATATCCAGAATAGCAGGAACTATCTGCATCTTTATTGCATGGAGACTATATCCAGAATAGCAGGAACTATCTGCATCTTTATTGCATGGAGACTGTATCCAGAATAGCAGGAACTATCTGCATCTTTATTGCATGGAGACTATATCCAGAATAGCAGGAACTATCTGCATCTTTATTGCATTGGACTATATCCAGAGTAGCAGGAACTATCTGCATCTTTATTGCATGGAGACTGTATCCAGAATAGCAGGAACTATCTGCATCTTTATTGCATGGAGACTATATCCAGAGTAGCAGGAACTATCTGCATCTTTATTGCATGGAGACTATATCCAGAGTAGCAGGAACTATCTGCATCTTTATTGCATGGAGACTATATCCAGAGTAGCAGGAACTATCTGCATCTTTATTGCATGGAGACTATATCCAGAGTAGCAGGAACTATCTGCATCTTTATTGCATGGAGACTATATCCAGAATAGCAGGAACTATCTGCATCTTTATTGCATGGAGACTATATCCAGAATAGCAGGAACTATCTGCATCTTTATTGCATGGAGACTATATCCAGAGTAGCAGGAACTATCTGCATCTTTATTGCATGGAGACTATATCCAGAGTAGCAGGAACTATCTGCATCTTTATTGCATGGAGACTATATCCAGAGTAGCAGGAACTATCTGCATCTTTATTGCATGGAGACTATATCCAGAGTAGCAGGAACTATCTGCATCTTTATTGCATGGAGACTGTATCCAGAATAGCAGGAACTATCTGCATCTTTATTGCATTGGACTATATCCAGAATGAGCTGGTTTACACGTAGCTGACAAATCAACTCTAAACTCTTAAATCTTATCTTATTATTTAATCTCAATTCTTAAACATATTTTGAAACACACATCGTTACATATTTTGTGTAGGAGTTGCATTCATTTTAATTTCAATGTCATGGTTTAGTTAATGGACAATTTAAGTTGTCACTTCGAATATTGACGGACTTTTTATTTTCATTTGGATTTTGGGGACGAAATGCTCAAATTTATCCTTTAAACTTTTAAAGGCCAACTTGATATGATAATGATATTTGAATATGATCCAGTTTTTACTATTATTTTGACTGACGGTATCATCTTAACATTTACAACTTTATTCTTTTCCTCGGATTCCAGCTTCAGCCACGTTGTGTATGCTTAGCAGTAGCACAATTAAGGATACAAATAATATAGGCTTCCATCCAGACGATAAAAAACGTCAATACTCAAATCACAAAATGCAACTCAATCGAGGACAAAAAACAATATTTGTCGGAAAAGGACCTGATGATCAATGAACTCAAAGTCAGAAATTCAGTAAACTTATTTGTATCACCTTTGTGAGCGTTGTTACAGTGGCCCTATCTGCAACTGGTGTTCCCCTGTTACAGTTGGCTAAATTTTCGTTGTTTTATTCATCCATTCGGAATTCATCTGACGTCATTTGAGCAGATGGTGAGCTTCAGTTAATCAACTTAGCGCGAGGTGTAGCTAGTGTCCATTTTGTTTTACTATTTCTACATAGTATATTCTTGTGAAGTTTGACATACTGCAGTATTGCGCTGTACTTTTAGTTAGTACTAAGATCGTTCACAATTGATTCACGTTTAGTATAATAAGTCTATTAGTTTTGTGTATAATATTGTGTATTGAATTTTTATTTACGACACGATAATAAAATCAAAAATATGTGGTGTTCACGAGCTTCTTAATTTCAACTGCAGTTCATTCTCATCGATGCCTCAGTTCTATTATGAACCCAGAGACGATCGAGAGCTCTCCTGTAAATGGAAGCTCTCTGGAGTGTTCGGCCCTAATTCGGAGTCAGGTGTACGATGTTGTGGAAGATGAGATGGAGGTGGAACACTTTTGTGATTTTGCTTGTATAATTATACAAAATAAAAGCATATACATGAAATATTATTTAATAGAATAACATCAAAATATTTGGGTAAACTCCATCAACCGCGAAGCAAAACCACAATTGAAAGATTTCAAATCAAACTAAATTTTACTCAGTTCTTTTATAAGTTTACGCTAAAATACGAATGACCCGGAAATTTTTACTCTGTCAATGTTTCGAAAGAAACATGCACATTTTATTTTAATGTCCATCTAAAAGTAAATTTTCGGTTTTAAACAGAAAAGTCAGAAAAATCTAAACAGTTGTTATTTTCCACACATTATCAGAGTCCTCGCTAGAAACTCTCACAAATCTCCTCGTTTTGGGAACATCAGCGTCTTTGAAGGTGAAAGGGGGAGCCCTCAAGAACTTACCACTCTGACTTCCAAACCTCTTCCTGATCTTGTAAGAGTCCTCCTCCCCATCTACAGGTACGAACTCCCAACACTCCCTTTCTGTCCCACTCCACCTATCAGTCTGGACCAGGAACTCACCCTCAAGAAGTCCCCCCTTACGCAAGTCATTAGTTGACGTTCCGGGTGCCATGCTCTCCCCGGCGTGGTAACCACTGGCTTTCTCTATCTTGTAACATTGGTAATCATCCTGCTTGAAGGAGATGATATTCCACAAGGCATCATCATTTATATCGGTAGTGAACACCCACTCACAAGTACCCCCACAGTAAAAACTTCCCAGATCTTCACGAGTAGTAAGCTTCACACCAGCCCCCTCTAGAGTCACATTCGCCCTTTTACTCTCCCCAAACAGGAACACGTCCTCCTCCCTGGCCCTCTCCGTCTCCAACACCTCCTGCGCCCTCTGTTCTGCGCAGGTAGGGACCCCACACACGTCCCACCTCTTACTGGAAGTAGTGTAACACCAGGCAGCTGGTTCATTATCAGGGTTCCTGCAGTAGTTCTCCTCTAGACTGGGGTATTTCTCGGGAGTCCGAGTGTGTTTGTGGGGTGTCTGGGAGGCCCAGGCTTGACATGTCAGTCCCCCTCGTGTAGTGCTCTTCGTTCCTCGGTAGTCTGTCTGCTTTCCATCCGAACATGTCTGGGTTGGGTCCGCTGTGTAGCTGATAGCAGCTAGAGTCAGGGTTAGTATACCAATTCTCAACATGTTAACTTAAATAGAAATATTTGCTGTTCTAAGGCAACTGAAGTGAACGTAAAGTGATCTGTTTGCCTATAAGGCAAAACGTTAAAGAACGACAACCGCTGTTCACAACAAAACGTTCGGTTGTAACAAAAGGCCAGCTTAAATGAAGCATTGTCAGTGTGTGTCTAACAAAGCTGACTTAACAATTTGCTCTCTTGTTAGCGGTCAGGTTATCGGCGGCCGCGTCGGCAGTCTTGGTTTCTGTTTTGTTCACAATAGCTACCTTTTTGGTTACTGTAGTGCCAACAAGGGTCCGTTTTAAACTATTGTTTTTGGATAGAATGGTTAACACATATATAGCAAGGTCATTGCTTTACCAACACATTTTATTTAGTTTTATATACAGCTTATTGGAACGAAGCCAATCTAATTCTTATCCATCTTATGGGCCCTAATATTGGGGATCATATTGTCTATGGAAGGGGTAGCAGAGTACTAGATTTACACTTTTACATATTATTATTATAAAGGGTCTCAATAAGAGGTCTCGACTGCCTAGGCGTCAAACCTTGGCAGTCGGTAGTTTTCCTCTGGCCCGGGATCAGCTGACCCTAGGGACCAGAGGGTAAAGGTGTAGAGACTATGTGTATCTACAAATCTTTCGAGGTTGTTTTTACAAGAGACAGGGCTTGCTACGCAAGGGAAGAAAACCGGGAGAAACAATCACAAATTATACAAATAAAAATTATAAAACCTAGCAAAAAGAAATTCAAACAATCCTACACTACTACAAATGTTTATTACATACTACAATGTAATACACGATAAATAAATGCTGTATAATCAAGAAACAGGGCTTGCAGGGCAAGGGACGGAACACAGGAACTGGCTACAGAGTGTATAAAACAGTGATTCAGCAAGTACCCATTGGGTATTGCTGAATCTGACCCACAAAATACCACAATCAATACAAGAATATACAATATAACAAACATCATGTTTATACAAGAATCAGGGCATGCAGAGCAAGAGAAGAAAAATAAGAGAGAAACTCCAACACATGTATACCCCTTAGTCCAGTAAATAACAATAATTAATTGTACACAAAACTGTATAATATGAAATACATAACAAATACACAGTCTACCCAATATACGAGTTAAAAATTGTATAAACAAGAGACAGGGCTTGCATAGCAAGGGAAGAGATATAAGAGGACCAGGTAAAAAGTGTTTATTACAGTATCCAGTGAAGAATAAACTAAATATAGAGTATCTACAGTGTATTATACTCTCAATAATATCATATGTCTAAGACCATCCTGAGAATACTGGCTGATCCAAGCAGAGCTGTCTTCTGGAGATTAGAGATGCTCAGATTGCAGTGGACTGCGTCAAGGTGTTTACGAAAGTTAATGGTGATAGTTCCTAATGCGCCTATCACCACAGGGACGATTGTGACCTTTCGTAAATTCCAGTTCTTCTTAATTTCTCTTTTTAGGTCTTGATATTTCAGTATCTTTTCTTGTTCTCTATCCAGGATCCGGGTATCTCCTGGGACTGCAACGTCAATGATGGTTGCTGCGTTGGTTACCTTGTCTACCAGGAGGAGATCCGGTCTGCAGTGTTCGATAACGTGGTCCGACTGGACATGGAAGTCCCACAATATCTTTCAATTATTATTATTATTATAAAACAGGATCTTACCGACAAAAATGATTCTTAAAAATACCTTAATGCGGTAAACTGTACCCTTGAAAAAGATTTTCCCAACATCTGTTGCATGCAGCTATATCTCTAATTTCGTTCAATTCATACGAGTTTTCCATACGCAAATTTCTACTACTTAAATCACTTCTTAAAACTGATAACAAGTTCATTCTAGGTCTCCCCCATCTCCCAATGAATAAATTATCTGATTCAATAGAAAAAGAGAGAGCCGTTTGGGCTGGAGTGTTCTCCATACTCCTGAGAATGTGTCCAAACATCTTCCACCGCTGGTGTTCGATACGCTTGGATAACTTTTCAACTTTGCACCTTTCATACAATGCTTTGTTGCCTATCATACCTTTAGGCCATTTGATGTTTAAAATGGACCTGGGGTGTCTACGATGAAGTGTGTCCATTTTCTCCATGGTTGCTTTTTTAGGACTCCAACTATTTGAGTTGTAAATCAATACAGATACAACTTGAGCATCGTATAACCTCAGCTTTCTTTTAAGGGAAATTTTCTTACCGGACAACCATACTTTTTCGAAGTTCTTAAAAGCAATTTCAGCTAGGATTCTCCTTCTTTGAATGTCCTTTTCAGTACACAGTAAGGAACCTAGTGACTTATTACTTCGCCATGGTTCGTTATTAGCTAATGGCTGACCGTTTGTGTCTTTATCAGATTTTTTCGCCAGGTAGAAGGTACTGAATTCAGTTTTACTTTCATTTACTTAGAGGTTCCATTCTTTGAGAATCTCCTTCACTGCAGGAAGGAAAATTATCAGTTTCTTGATGTCCTTGTCAGCAAAGTCACAATCGTCTGAATATTCCCACTCAGTTGGAAAACTTTTACATAAACAAAAATATCTTGAAGAACAGGATCACGATCTCAGAGATGAGGAATTGTAAAGGTGAAATTAATGGAGTATTAATTGGTACTGCAGGATAACAGGATTGCATGAAACTTTTTAATTGACTAAGTATATAATATCGTCACGCGCGAGGACAAACTGCTGTTGAAAAATGATCACCTCTAGCGAGCCCGGCAGGCGGTAAGGTTTTCTGGGTATACTAAAGATATAATATCCTAACGCCGTGTGGTCACAGAGGCTCCACCACCAACATTAACAGTACAATAGGTCAGTAGTTCAGCGCGGAGCCGGATACATTCTTAAATTGTAAATTATTATTATAATTAGTCCCTTCAATAATCTCGATACTTACTGCAAATGTGACCATGGTTATTTTATAATTTTATTCACACACTAGTGTAACCCGGCCTTCGGCCGTGATTTCAATGCTGCATTTAAAAAGGGTAGGAGTAATTACCCGCTGATTCAAAACCCGCATTAGGTGAGCAATTCCATTCGGAGTGTCCTCAGGTATCTAATAGTATTTTAAGTGAGGATCGTTCTGATAACAAATTTTTGTTGTTTCTGGATTGCGGAGAGGCGGCTAGATTCGAACTTGTCGATGAGATCCTTGCCAAGATACCGGACAATGAATTTGAGGTGTAAACTTTTTTTCAGCTTTGAATGACACAGCAGAGTCGGTTTGTCCTTCAACAAACAGTCCTGAAATAGGTGGCAAAGTTGGGTTAACAACCTGCAGGATAGAGGCTTCAAAAGTAGAGCTACTGGAGGAAACATCATTCCTCAAAGATAGAGCAGCTCTCCTTCTTCCACTCCCGCCTGATGACACGTGTAATTTCCCTGCTTGTGGTGTGAACAAAAGCGCACCTCCTGTAAAAGCCTTGTTTGCTGATCAGGTGGAGAGATGTGGTGACTTGTCAGAGTGCGTTACCGTGGTTACTAAGACTGCTAGGAGACCGCTATTCGTTATCAGACTTGCTAAGAGTCTGCGGAAACAGTTTAAACTTGACCTTCCTATGATAGTTATTGACGACGGTCCTGAAGATTATAGCTCTGAGATAATGGATAAGATCGCCAAGTTCCCTAATATATGCAATACGTCATCTCCTCTCCAGATCTAGGCATTGCCGAGGGGAGGAATATAGGTCTACGAATGGTGAAGACTAAATATTTCTTCCTATTAGATGATGATATGGTCGCTACAGATAGAACAGAAGTTTCTAAATTGGTGGAGATATTGGACACCACCGACACCACTCTCGTAGGGGGAGGGTTTATGTTTGCAGGTTTCTTAGAGTGTGGTCTGGATCTTTATGGGAGAACAACTTTATTCCACTACGAAGACACATGTACTGCTGCTAACCAAACTGTAACAGGGTTTCCTCACCCTGGTTGTTATAGATGTGAAATTACCGCCAATATGTTCGTGGCAAGAACATAGGATGCTATAGCGGTGGGAGGTTGGAGCAAAGAACTTAAAATAGGTGAGCACAAAGATTTCTTCCTGCGGTTGAAGGGGGCGGGAAAGAAAGTAGTGTTCTGTCCGGCATTTATCGTGGTAGACGATCACAGCCGGACTCAGGGAGTCGTGCTTGTGGGAGGAGTAAGTGTACTACGGCTTTACAAATTTTGGAAGCATGTTGGGATATAGATCTGATACCAATCGTATATACTGAAAATACTCTAGCACAATTGTAACTGCAGTTTTACAGAACTCTAAATGCAGGTACCACCCGGCCGTATTCACACTCAGACCTGAGTCATTTTCCGATACGAGATTGGGGACTAGACGGGTTCTAAAACCAAACAAACATATATTAAAGTCATTATTGTGACGGTACATTAGAACCAGACAGAAACAATATGCAGTTTCTGAGATCTGCATAATGCATAATTCTGAGATTATTATTTAAGATTGCATACTTCGGAATTTCGCTGGATTGCACAACTTTCGTCTTGGTAGATTCCAAACACAAGGAAATTTTCCTTTTGGTTGGTAATATACTCAATGATGGAAGTATAGTGTATTGGCTATGCCCCGCTTACTAGTTTAGCTCTTTCTAGTCCCCTGCTACACGGCATGTAAACAGGGATTGGCTAGTTAGAGGCGGACACTGTGCTTTCAGCAATACTCATAGAGTCTTCAAGCGTCTAATTCCGAAATATAATCACGATATTACTCATCACATATTTTAAATTAATAATAATATTCAAACGAATCCATGCTTGCTTCTGCTTACATAAACGTAGCGTGCGAAAACATGGTTGATATGCATTATGTCAATCAAAAATTGCCAGGTCCACGACTTGACTATACGACTTGAGCCAAACTTCTCACGTGTGTTTTTCCTTCACAATAACTGTTCCCGCGGTGTGTTGCGGCATAGTTTGAAACTATTTACACTTTATGCATTGTCCTCATGACTCACGGTTAAGTGTA